TCAAGGTGGGAGGATTGCTTGAGGCTAGGAGTTCGAGAGCAGCCTGGGCAACGTAGTAAGACCCCATTTCTACAAATAAATGAGAAAAAACTAGCTGGGTGTGGTGGCACATGTCTGTCATCCCAGCTACTTGGAAGCCCAGGAGTTTGAGGTTACAGTGAGCTATTAATATGATGATGACACTGTACTCCAGCCTGGGCAAAAGAGAGAGACCTGGTCTCAAAAAAAAAAAATTGCCCTGCATTCAATCCAGGCTCTAGAAGTCTAATGAGCAAAATCAGATTGTTGGGAACTAGATCAATAATATACATCCCTTGGCCTTTGAGCTGCATCTAGCCTGAAATGTTAAGAAATGTTAAAAAGGAATGAAAGTTGCCATCATGTTTTACCTCTTGAATATGTCTAGATCTTAATGTTTTAGTGGTTCATAAAACAGTCTTCTCATTCACATTTTAAAATTTATTAAAGTTTAATAAATAATCCAAGTTGTAAGAATGGTTGTAAGAATGTATGGGTTTTCCCCCATAAGACACAAATGCACAAATGATATCATTTTCATTTGGAAGGAAAACAAACATGTTGTCTGAAAAATTATGATTTTTTAAAAAATTTCTTCTTGCATCCCAGCTGCACTAGATGATATTTTTTGGTCTCTGCATCTTGAATATTGTTTCAAATCCCCTCATTGCTCTTGGAATAATAGATTCTAAGCCTAGAAATTTGAAATTGCTGGTACAGGAAGCTTCTACTTGTAGATTAGTCATTTCTTTTCAGAACCCAGCATTGGCCAGATTGACATGTCAAGAGGCTATTGAGGGAACAGCGGCAATTTCTCTTGTGGTTGCAGGAAAGAGGGCATTTCCCAGAGCACCGAGGAGAACACAGCCAATTGCGATGTGTGCTCGAGGCCTTTTCCAAAGTGCTTTCCCTGCAACCAAAATGACCTCCCCCCCCAAAAAAAATGAATGTTTGGGGATCACAGCTTTTAGTTAGAAAACAGTGATTATTTCTAGTGGAGGTGTCTAAAATTTGGATGCCAAATTCTCAGTTCCATGAGAAAAAAGGCCTCCCTACTGTATCCCTAGAAAATAACATGGAGTTTGGCAGTTAGTAGAAACTCAGTGACATTTTGATGAATGAATGAATAACGGGATAATTTTTTGAAATTTTCCCCATCTATACTTCTAATGGTGAGAGAGCCCCCTGCTGGAAGAATGGATATTACATACACAGCTATGGCTACAAGCAGTATACTGAAAATATTTCAATTAATCATTCTTGTTTCTAGACCAGGTCATGCTTAATTGGACAGGATATTGTAAAAAGCTCCGTGAAAAATCACTGGTTAGATAGAAAAGGACTCAGTTTGTGCTGATTATATATGTTATAGATCAAATAATGGACTTCAAAACTGAAGCTCATACACCAAAAATTCTGAATAATATTACAAGCCTATAACTTGCCCTGTATTTGGATAGCAGTATTATAAACTATTATGGGTATGCTAAATTAACATTCCTCTATTAGTTTTTAAATTGTTAGTAAATGGCCATATCTTGGGCACCAAACCATGAATATATAATATGAATAACATAAGCAGCAGTAAGTACTGCTGTCAAATACAATTTATAAGTTAATCTGATGTTTATTGATATACACACATATGTTCATGCAGCAGAACAATAATATTTGTGCTGCTTCATAGTTGGGTAAATGATCAGCAATTCATGAAAATTACTTGGTACTACTTTTTGCAGGGTGAGGACAAAATGTGAGTTTTTCTTTCCATTTGTTTTTAGTAATGAAAATAATCTTCACTTTTCACCTGTGCAGTTTAACACACAAACACACTCTCAGCCTGGAACTACACCCTCAATTCTTATAGCTCCCTGTGCACCTATATTTCCGTGTTCATTTCCACATCCTCACTTCTACCCAGGGCTCTGCAGCCAACATGGGTGTGTTTCTTGCTGCTACCCTGCTTTGGGTATGCTGGGTGCTGGAGGGCCATGAGGGAGACTGGGCCAAGGAAGCAGAATGGCCTGTCCAGAAAGTCAAAACACTGTCACCACACTTTGGGAGCAGGTTGTAGAAGGATCTTAGGCAGCAGAGGTGAGGGGCAGGGGTGATTGCTCACTCAGTAAGCTGGTGCACTGAATCCTATTAGCTTGGAGACTTGGGTCTAAGGGAGGAGATAGACGAACTTGGAGAGAGTGAACGTGAGAGTGACTTTTGCCAGGGAATGGAGGAAGCAGTACTGAGTGAAAAGTATCTGGAAATAGGAGTCAGCCAATCAGGAGAGCTCCAGGTCTCTTCGTCAATTAGGAATACTTCCTCTGCAGTAAAACAAAAACAAAAACAAAAAACCCACAGAAAGAAGCCTTCAGCAATCACCAAGTGGCTACTCTGAGGGGTTTCAAACTTGGCTGCATATTGGAATCACCAAGGAGCATTAAAAGTCCTGGTGTTTCCTGCTTCAGAGATTCTGATTCGGTTGGTCTGGGGTGTGGGTCTGGTGTTGAGCTGGTTTAAAGCTTCCTGGACGACTCCAATGTGCAGCCAATGCCGAGAAACACTGGTCAGCACTCTGGCGAAACGTGGAATTTTTAACCTCAGATGAAATGTGGTATTATCTCTGGTTCTCGACTCATCCTTCTCTTGTCCTATTTTACTCTTTTCTCCCACTTCACTGTGCTGGGTGGAATAATCTCACCCCCTGGCCCCAAAGATGTCCACGTTCTAATTCTTGGAACCATAGGATATGTTACCTTACTCTGCAAAAGGGTCTTTGCTGGTGTGATTGAGCTAAGGATTTTGAGATTCACCTGTAGAGCCTTACAAAGAATGGTCAGCCCTGCTGACACCATGATTTTAGACTCGTTTTGGATCTCTGACCTCCAGAACTGTAAGAAAATAAATTTGGGATGTATCTAAGCCAATACATTTGTTACAGCAGCAATGGGAAACTAATTCAATTACCAATCCCATTTTTTTATGCTTACCAACTCCACCCCTTATAAGGGGTTTACTGCATATACTTGGGTATGCGTATATCTTTAAAGATTATATGTGTTTTTTTTTCTAGAGGAAAAAAAAGGACTAGTGTGATTATGGAGGCTTTTCCTAGGTTCCTACTTGACTTTCCAAAACTTTTAACAGGAAACAAAGCCTTTCTCTTCTTAATTCTTATATAAAAAGTTTCAAATATCAATGCTTGCAGAGCCTTGGCTCATTTTTGGTAATGTGTAACAACAAGTATGAATGAATGCTAGCAAGTGACTTCCTGTTTTATTGGGGGACTAACCAAGAGTGGGAGGACAGGAAATGTGATGGCTGTGAGATAGGGATCAAGCACAGGAATAAGAAGGGAGGCACAGGCACCCCCAAACAAAGCTGCTTCATAGTTGTACACCAATAATCAGAAGCCTTGTGCAGAAGTGTTTCTCTGAGCGTGGCTGCACACACACAGGGTTTAGCTGGGCTGTTGGTTTACACCGTGACATTCTCTTATTTGACATTTAGTTTGTTTTTGCTCTGCTTTTGCACTAAATATAAGATTATTGAAAAATGTGTGTACATTTTGTAGGGTGAGAGAAGTGTTGCGAATAGGTGGTGGAAGAGAATTTTGCTTTAGTGCAAAGGTTAAGTATTCTTTAATTACGTACGTGTTAGAATTTAGAGGATAAATTAGAACTTATATTTCTGTAGTGTTGCCTTCCTACCAAAAACCTAAGTATGTCTCTTCATTTATTTAGTGTTGTCATTATATATATTATATGAAGTTTTATATGTTATTACATAAGATCTGTTTTTTTAAATAAAGATTCCATATGTTTCATTATTTTATGTATTTTTTATAACTTTACTAAGCTCTCATTTTAAAATGCCTTTGTAGTTCATTCTTTGGTACTATCTGTATATAATTATATCACTTGCAAATATTTGTTTCCTCCTTTACTAAATGTATACCTCTTATTTAATGTTTTTAGTTATTGCAGCTTTGTAATATGTTTTAACATCTGATAAAGCTATTCTCTTTCAATTATTCTACTTTCAAAATGATCTTGGCTGTTTTAGTGACATCCCTCCATACCCCTCTGCAATTCCTTTGGGATTCTTACAGAAACCAAAGGTGAGTAATTCTTCTTCCTTCTTTTTCCTTCTTCCTTCTTCTTTCCTCCTCTCCCTCTTCCTCGTCCTCTGATTTTCATCTTTCTATATCACAAAATTGTCCTGTATTTTTGAATTTTAAAGACCACTTTATGTATTAAGGTAATGAGACCTCTGGGTGTTGCAAATGATTTTTCCCACTTTGTCTTCTGACACCTGATGGTGGTTTTCCCCACATGAGAATGGGGAGTTGGGGGAGGCCATCCTCGCTAAAGAGAGCAACAAATGCAAGGGCCTCAGGGCCAGAGGATGAGAAGCCTGTGAGGGAAGAAGAGCGTGGGATGGGCTGAGATTGGAAGAGTAAGTAGGAGTTCTCTTGGGGGGAATTTGTTGGCTGTGGTGAAAAGTTAAGAGTTTACGCTCCTTCCAAAGGGAAGCCATTGGAGGATTTTAAGCAGAGGAGAACAAGATGCGATTTATGCTTTCACATGAGCATACTGGCTGCTGTGTAGAGAATACAGTGTATGGTGGTGAACAACCGTAGTGGAAGCAGGAAGACCAGTCGGGAGGCTGCCACAGTGGTCCAGGTTAGGAATGATGGTAGCTTGCACTAGGATAAAAAGGAATGAATTGCAGAGATATTTTGGAGCTATAACCATAAGAACTAGATGTCAGGGATAAGGGAAAGGGAAGAATCAAGAATAATTCAGCCTTGAACTCAAGCAACTTGGTGTTTGGTGGTACCATCTATTGAGACAAAAGAGTATGAAATGAATAATGGTTTTGGGAGCAAAGTAAATAAAGAATTCTGTCTTGGACATATTAGTTTTGAGATGCTTGTTTGAGATACAAATGGAGTTGTCAATAAGGCAATTAGGCACTCCTCTCGGGCTCCCTGTCACCATGCCGCTCTACGAGGGCCTGGGGAGTAGCGGGGAGAAAACGGTGGTTGTGATCGACCTGGGAGAGGCCTTTACCAAGTGTGGATTTGCTGGAGAAACTGGTCCAAGATGTATAATTCCTAGTGTGATAAAAAGAGCCGGCCTGCCTAAGCCTGTCAAAGTTGTTCAGTATAATATCAATACAGAAGAATTATATTCCTACCTAAAGGAATTCATCCACATCCTGTATTTTAGGCATCTATTGGTGAATCCCAGAGACCGCTGAGTTGTGGTTATCCTTGTGTGTGTGGTTATCCTTGTGTATTATGTCCTTCCCACTTCAGAGAGACACTCACTCGTGTTCTTTTCAAATATTTTGAGGTTCCATCTGTCTTGCTTGCTCCAAGTCATCTAATGGCTCTTCTGACACTTGGAATTAACTCTGCCATGGTCCTGGATTGTGGATATAGGGAAAGCCTGGTGTTACCTAAATATGAAGGAATTCCAGTATTAAATTGTTGGGGAGCACTCCCCTTAGGAGGAAAAGCTCTTCACAGGGAGTTGGAAACTCAACTGTTGGAACAATGTACCGTTGACACGAGTGCTGCTAAAGAACAGAGCCTTCCTTCAGTGATGGGTTCAGTACCAGAAGGTATCTTAGAGGACATTAAAGTGTGTACTTGTTTTGTTAGTGATCTGAAGCGTGGACTGAAAATCCAAGCAGCAAAATTTAATATTGATGGGAATGATGAGCGTCCCTCACCACCCCCAAATGTTGACTATCCGTTAGATGGAGAGAAGATTTCACATGTTCTTGAATCAATCAGAGATTCCGTTGTGGAAATTCTTTTTGAACAAGATAACGAAGAGAAATCAGTTGCCACTTTAATATTGGATTCCCTTATGCAGTGCCCAATAGATACCAGGAAGCAACTAGCAGAGAATTTGGTAGTCATAGGTGGCACATCTATGTTACCAGGATTTCTCCATAGATTGCTTGCAGAAATAAGGTATTTGGTAAAAAAACCAAAATATAAAAAAACACTTGGCACCAAGACATTTCGAATTCATACTCCACCTGCAAAGGCTAATTGCGTGGCCTGGTTGGGAGGAGCTATTTTTGGAGCATTGCAAGATATACTTGGGAGCCGTTCAGTTTCAAAAGGATATTATAATCAGACAGGTCGTATACCTGATGGTGTTCTCTCAATAATCCACCTTTGGAAATGATGTTTGATGTCGGGAGGCTCAGCCACCTCTGATGAAGAGAGCATTTTTCCACTGAGAAATAAAAGTTGATTAAAATTCAGCTTTCCTTTATTTCTAATATTTAGTTGATTACAAGAGAATTGTACAAAATATGTAAGATGCTTTGTTATAGGTGACTATAGTGAAAGTGAAAGCACTTCTTGTTTACTCTTTGCATTAATATGTAATTCTTTTGACTTTGTTTCCCTTGTATAGTGTAAAATGGTAGCTGATGCTTATGAGACTTATTGTATTTGTATCAATAAATAGTAGAACAGTTTAATTTTGGAAGTTTGTTACATAGTCAATTTTTCAAAAAGAATAACAACACTATCCCTGCATAGTTCACATAATCTGTCCTGGGCATGGGAGACTCCATTAATTTTATTATTTTCAGCAGTTATTTCATTTAAAGCATGAATAGTGTTAATCAGTACCAGTTATTTCAAATATTAGCATGTGTCTATTTTTTAGATTCTTTGCTTTTTGGTACTTATATGTCCATGTCATTATAATGTTGCTTTTCCAAAAATATATTTGATCCTTTGGACTGAGAATGTTTGGTAACACAGGCATTTATTAGGCAAAGTGTAGAAATGTTTACCTTTTAACTTTACAGTTTCTTTTATGAATAATTCTACATTTGTAAGGAAAAAGATATTTCATTTCTGTGTAAAGTTACAACTGTTTATAAACATGTCCTCATAATATATCAATCTTTGCTTTTGTGCTTTGGTATCTTCTCAGGGCAGGGGTTCTTTGAAATAATATACTCAGTCATTGTTTAACTTTTATTTTGTTTTTCTTCCTTTGTTTTAATGAACTACCTCTGTTGAAATTTTGCTGGTTTCATTCTTTCAAGGTACCTGTGCCCTGTAGGCCTGCTACTTCTGTAACATCCTTTCCCAAAGTAGTGACTTTTCCCTAAGTGCTTTATTTATAACTGAAGCACTTACAACTGTTACTTTGTAATCGTTTCTACACAAGTTTTAGCTTCCTTTCTGGAATATATACTCCATTGCAACAAGCTTCCCTATTTTTTAACTTTGAAATCTTTGCAGTAAGATTATTAGGAATAGGTGTACATTATTGTCAATTGTATGGATTTACTATTTTTAACAGTATCTCTTTTTGCAGTAAACATAATTCCAAAATTAAAAAAAAAAAATAAGGCAATTAGATCTAAGGAAGGAGCTTGGGAGAAATACCCAGGCAGGCTATTTTAATTAGGATGATCTAAATGGACCAAGTGTGATTACATAGGACAAACATTTGGATAAAGAGAAGTTCTGAGGCATCTCCAACTTTCAGATGCCAGATTAAAGAGGTGTAGACAGCAAAGGAACACAATGAAAGAGAGGAAGGGAATTCTAATAGTGGCATTAGTAGCCACAAGAAAATAATGAAGAGAGAGGAGTTGTGTTGACAGCTTTTTTTTTTTTTTTTTAATTTCGGCATATTATGGGGTACAGATCTTTAAGTTCAAATAAATGCGACATTTCCCCCTCCCCCCAAAAGTCTGAGTCATCCATCAATGACCCATCCCCCAGATGTGCACATCCCACTCATTATTATTATATACCCACCCCCTCCTCCTCCACCTGCCCAATACCCTATTTTACTGTAGTACCATGTGTCCACTTAGGTGCTACTCAGTTAATACCAGTTTGCTGGAGAATATATCTGGTGCTTGTTTTTCCATTCTTGGGAAACTTCACTTAGTAGTATGGGTTCCAGCTCTAACCAGGAAAATAAAGATGTGCTTATATACCGTTGTTTCTTAGAGCTGAATAGTACTCCATGGTATAACACTATACCGACATTTTATTAATCCATTCTTGGATTGATGGGCACTTGGGCTGTTTCCACAGCCTTGCATTATGAATTGTGCTGCTATAAACATTCGAGTGCAGGTGTCTTTTTTGTAGAGTGTCATTGGATGACAGCTTTTAAGTTCAGTAAAACAAGAACAAGAAAGTGTTGAGTTTATTTCAATAACTAAAAAACTACAGTTTGGGTGTAGGTATCATCTAATGCCAGCATAATTACTAATGGTGAAAAGTATTTCAATTAAAAGTTAAGTGAGAAAAGATTAAAAAGCTTTTTAAGTTTTTTCTAATCTCATTAAATTTATAGATCGATCTAAATGGGATTGACATCTTTAAGTTTTTCTATCCAAGAATAGGATATATTCTTCTATTCTAAGTCATCTTTTATGGATCTCAGCAGAGATATAACATTTTCTTCAGGAAAGGTCTGTTGATTTTTAGTTAAATTTATTTCTAGATATTTAAAAACAATCTTTATGTTACTACTGTAAACATATAATATGTGTATGTTTATTTAAAAGATGATTTTTAGAATATATAATGCACATATTTAAATGATTATGCAACAGAAAGATTAATTTAGAAATGAGCAGAATCTTCCTGAAGAAAGATCTTTGTCCCTCTCCTCCGCTTCCCCTTCTCTGTGTGTGTGAGTTTGTGTGTGCATTTGTATATGTGTGTGTATATATATATATTATATATATAATATATATGGTATAATAATATATATGGTATAATAATATATATTATATAAAATATATAAAAATGGGTATATAAAATATATAAAAATATATATAAAATAATATATATATATGGGTATAATAATATATATATATGGGTATCTATTCTCATCTGATTTGTGTATATAGGAAATCTATTAATTTTGATATATTTATGTAATCTGCCATCTCCCTGAATTTTTATTCATTCTAGCTTAGAATTCATTCTTATAGTTTAGAATAGATTTTGGTTGATTTATTTGTGGTTTTCAAATGTAAAATATTATACACTCTTGTCTCTGCCTTTGGAATCTTCTTTATACTGTGAGCATAGTAGGAGGCAATAGAGAATTATGTTGAAGATATGAACCTGCAGTGAGTTTGGCTTCACATTCTGACTCTGCCACTTAACCACTCTGTTGTATTTTGGTTTCCCTGTCTGTAGACTAGGGATAATAATAGTACTTATTTGATAGTGCTGTTGGGGGCATAAAATGAGATACTATGTATAACACATTTACAATAGTGCCTGGCACTAGGATTCAATAAATGTTAACTATTATCATGATTATTAATTGTGTTGGCTGGCACTTATAGGAAGTTCTTACTAGTGATGCTAGTGGACATAATGGTCTTGATCCTTTCTGACTTTAATGGAAATACTCATAACATTTCACCATTTAGCATAGCACTAACTTTTGGAGACACATGTGGGTTGCTTTTTGTTATATTTTGCTATATTCTTGAATGTCATCCATTTAATCTAAATTTTCAAAGATTCATATGGTTGAGCCATATGAAATTGTCATATGTAGCCATATTTGACCTATAAAAATGATGACTGAATGTATTGCAACCTAATTGGTTTCATGCAGCTAAATGAAGTATTCTATAATTTGAAAAAGTTTACTCTGTATTTGTGGTTATTTGTGGCTATTTTCCCAATATCCAATTTTATGTATTTGTGCTTAGTCTTCTCACCTTTTAAAATTAGGTATTTTAACTTATTGTTTTGTTCAGAGAGCTAGTTTTTCAATATATTTAATGGTTCTATCATTTCTCTTTTCTAATTCATTAATTTTGCTATTATCTTTATTAATGTCTTCTTTAGTTTTCTTAGGTTTAATGTGTACTACTTTCTTAATTTCTCAAATTAAAAGATAGTATTAATTTATTTTTGGCTTCTTTTGTTTAATAATTATTTATGGTTATGAATTTTCCTGTGCATGTTGTTTTAATCATTTAATATTTTCATTATCACTATTTTCTGCATACTTAGCAGAAATGTTTGCTTTGACTTCCTATTCACTCAAAAGTTAAGAGAGAGTTTAAACACCTCTCAGTAATAGGGGTTTTTGTTTTCTGTTTTTTAAAATTCATTTCTAGTGTTATTACACTGTGATTAGAGAGTGTTACTTGTATAGCTTTTACCTTTTGGAATTAATTGAGATTTTTCTTTGTTGCCTAATGTGTGGTCTGTTTTTGTACATATCCATTGACACTTAAATAGAAGGTGGAGTTTCTATATTGAGCATGGAGCATTCCCTACACACATCCGTGCGAGCCACCTGATTGATTATGTCCGTTATTAACATCAGGAATAGTGACACTGCACAGGAGAAACATAAATCTGCGTCTGGCCTGAGCTGCCTGCCATGCCTAGAGCTCTTTGGGTGAGTTTGTTTTTGCTTTTTTGTTTTTTTATTCCATCTGGTAGTTGAGTCTTTGTCTTTTTCCCTTCCAAGTCATAACATGTTACATCTTAATTTTCTTTATGGAGTTCATTGTGCACAAAGAAAGAGAATACTCAGGAACACACGTGGGTGTTTCTTGACATGCCTGCACTGTTAAAGGTGTGAAGGATGTCCGCTTCCAGGAGCTGTGACAAAGACAGTAGGAACAGGGAGGAAGAATCCTGTGATGGCTCAGTGAGAAGATAAAAGTAAAGTCATGAGAATGCGCTCATATTTCCAGTCATGACCAAAACTGGCATAGAGGTCTCAGTCTCATGAACTGTGACATTAAATTGCATTTTCATTTTAATTCAAGGTTCCTTTAAAAATTGTTTTATTTAGTAACATTAAGATGTTCTCTCTTTTTAATAAAATTTCATTTGCAGAGCAACTAAACTGCTATAGCTCTTTAAAATCCTTATAGGGCCTGTTTTTTAATAAACATCAAAAAGTAAAGTTCTGTTTTTTAAGTTCTAACCTCAGGTGTCTGAGCACTCCCTGGGAGCTTTCTGCTGGTCTATTTAGTCTAATTCAATACAAAACAGGAAATCAATTATACAAACCCTTTCCTAAGAGAGTGCAAAACAGATGCTTCATTTAAAATACTGCTTGATTTAAAATACATGTAAGCATTAACAGATTTGATAAATATTTGGATATCTTTAAAATAATCAGCATATTTAAACAGAATTGAACATGTTATATACTTAGGCAATGTCATATATTAATATCGTAGTTGGCTGCTGGTTTTCCACACACAAACCAATTACTGCATTTGTTTCAAGTTACAAACAACAGTGGGATTAAATATTCTTTTTTCCTGGGACTTTAGATTAATAAATTAATTCTCTAGAAGAATGGAAATGTAGGTAGGAAACAGGGTGAACACAGCAGGCCAAGAGAGGATCAATAGTGAGATCTGATATCTTCAGAACATTACCATAAGCCAGTTTATTAAAC